AGGCAGGCAGGCAGGCAGGCGAGGCAGGCAGGCGAGGCAGGCAGGCGAGGCAGGCGAGGCAGGCGAGGCAGGCAGGCAGGCAGGCGAGGCAGGCGAGGCAGGCGGGCGAGGCAGGCGGGCGAGGCAGGCGAGGCAGGCAGGCAGGCGAGGCAGGCGGGCAGGCAGGCAGGCAGGCGAGGCAGGCAAGGCAGGCAGGCAAGGCAGGCAGGCAAGGCAGGCAAGGCAGGCAGGCAAGGCAGGCAAGGCAGGCAGGCAAGGCAGGCAAGGCAGGCAGGCCAGGCAAGGCAGGCAGGCAGGCAGGCCAGGCAGGCCAGGCAGGCCAGGCAGGCCAGGCAGGCCAGGCAGGCAGGCCAGGCAGGCCAGGCAGGCCAGGCAGGCCAGGCAAGGCAGGCAGGCAGGCAAGGCAGGCAGGCAGGCCAGGCAGGCCAGGCAGGCAGGCAGGCCAGGCAGGCCAGGCAGGCCAGGCAGGCCAGGCAGGCCAGGCAAGGCAGGCAGGCAGGCAAGGCAGGCAGGCAGGCCAGGCAGGCCAGGCAGGCAGGCAGGCCAGGCAGGCCAGGCAGGCCAGGCAGGCCAGGCAGGCCAGGCAGGCAGGCCAGGCAGGCAGGCAGGCAGGCCAGGCAGGCAGGCAGGCAGGCCAGGCAGGCAGGCCAGGCAGGCAGGCCAGGCAGGCAGGCCAGGCAGGCAGGCCAGGCAGGCCAGGCAGGCCAGGCAGGCCAGGCAGGCCAGGCAGGCCAGGCAGGCCAGGCAGGCCAGGCAGGCCAGGCAGGCCAGGCAGGCCAGGCAGGCCAGGCAGGCCAGGCAGGCCTGTAAACACACTATATGTCTAGAAATGAGCTCAAGTTATGCTATAGGATTTTTTTTCCAGACCAAAAACTATTTTTAAAGGTTAAAGTTTATGTAAGTTGGAAAGGCCTAAAGCAATGATTTAAGTTTTGTGAATGCAAATTGTAAAGGCCTGAGAAAGTGATTTTAGGTATGTGAAAAATGAGACTTAAAGATAACATACAAGGTTAAGACTTCAAAGTTCAGTATTTTAACATACTGATCAATGGAGTTCTGATAAGCTATTAATGTAGCTTTAGATGGGTTTTTCTTTGGGCCAACAGGTCACAAAAATTACATGGAGACTTACCATTAATTATGAATGTTCAGCCTTAGCTTAGGCTTGTTTTTAACAGTTCTTAGAACTTAAATTAACCCACATTTTTAATCTATGTTCTTTTATGTGGCTCCATTACCTTTACTCTGTATTTCCCATCGTGCTTCCCCTCCATCTGGCTGGTGACTCTGCCTTTCTGCTTTCTAGTGCTCTCTATCCAGAAGTCCCTCCTATACCTCCTACCTAGCTGTTATCTGTTTAGCTTTTTATTTTATTAAGTGGCACATCTTCACACAGTATAAAGGAATATTCCACAACATCTAGTCTTGATAAAAATACTGGCTACGATTATTCTAGTTACAGGTTCAAAAGTTTAACTTTCCTTTGGTTGTTTTCTATTTTTTTCCTTTTTAAAATACATTTTATTGAAATTAAAAACAATCTTATTTTACATGTCAATCCCAGTTCCATCTCCCTCTCATCCTCCCATGACCCCCCACCATCTCCCCATCCCCCATTCATTCCTCAGAGAGGGTAAGGGGGATCATCAAAGTCTGTCACATCATTTGGAGCAGGACAATGCCTCTCTCCCATATCTGGGCTGAGAGTGCTACTTATTGTGATGAAAATGTCTTTGAACAGAGGGAAGAGCATTCATGCTTTTAACTCAGAACCAACTTTTGGGTCCCCAAATGCTGCTCCCCCCTTTTGGTTTTGTTTGTCAAGGCAGGGTTTCTCTGCATAGCTTTGGAGGCTGTCCTGGCACTCACTCTGTAGACCAGGCTGACCTCGAACCTTCAGAGATCTGCCTGCCTCTGCCTCCCCAGTGCTAGGATTAAAGGTGTGCACTGTCACTGCCTGGCAAAACTCTTCTCCTTTGTTCTCTTTCCTGCCAAGAAATTTCTGTCTCATTACAAATGAATTTTTATGCTGTTATACAGATAACTTTTTAGGTTTTTTTTGCTATGGCTCACAGCAGTGCATCTGCTTCTTGACACTTTTGACAGTTTTTTTCTACAATGAAGATTTCGGTGCAGATTGTAGACGATGATCATTCTAATACCTGCTATTCCTCGCCTATATCTATCCTGGAACATTCCCACTCAGCTAATACACACCATGTAGGCCCTGAAAACTACTCCCAAATGGCCTGCAACTCATCAGCCCCAGGTGGTCTTGCAGAACCTGTGAACCCTGAACCTGCTGAACACTGGTGTAGGCCAGTCCAGCTGATGTTATGGCTTCCTGTCTCCTCAGGCTGAGTCAGCAAACCAGATGCTCCTGATGACTACCCCCCAACCTCTGGCTTTTGACCAACATTCTAGCCTCTCTGGGCCACTACCATGACTGTATCATAGTGCTGAAGTTGTCATTAATGGCATCATCCTTTATCAACAAAAGGCTGGAATGTTAGGTTTCAGGTAGTTAGCATGGAGGTCTCATATAGATTTCAGGCTGTCCATGTGTAGAAATGAGCTCAAGCTGGACTATAGGGAAACTGTTGGGTAGCTAAAAGCCATTATTCCTCAGGAACTTGTGAAACACATTCCCTTTAGGCAAAAGGAGTCATTTCTCTTACCTCTGGCAGAAGGGACATATGGTCACTTGTGGCACACATCAGCATATCAAAGCCCACCATGGCCTCCAGACACCCTCAGTACCAACAGTACATGAGATTTTATACATACATTTCAATGTCCACTCCAGCATCCAGGCCCTTCCCTGGCCTGAGCTATTTGTCATCCTTATAAACATGATTTCTCCAACCCAGACTATTTTCTTCGTGTCTTCATTTTATATATTTTTATTAAAATTATTATTGATTTAGCATAAAATATGATAGGCATTTTCTTATATATTTAGTTTTGGTTTCTTCTACTCTCATTTCACTCCTCTTTCCTATCTTCTGAGCTCATCCCTTCTCTGCACCCTTTTTCCCCTCTATTCCCCTTTCTAGTTTCATATTGCCCGTCCCTTACCATATGGCCTAGCTACACTACTCCTGAGAATATACCCAAAGACCTCTCCTTCCATCAGAGATACTTGCACATCTATGTTCATTGCTGTTTTTTCCACAGCAGCGTGTAATGAAATCAACCAATTAATATCCATCAACAGATAAAGTAAATGTGGTACATGTACTTAGTTTTTATTTTCCTGTTAAATGAAACAAAAGTATAAACTGTGCAGGAAAATTGACAAAACTATCTGACAGCTTTAGATTACTAAACAGCTGGTTCTCCAGCTGTCAGATTGGGGTTGTAAGCTCCCAATTGCTCAGGTCAGCTGTTTCTATGGGTTTCACCAGCCTGGTCTTGACCCCTTTGTTCATATTATCACTCATCCCTCTCTACAACTGGATTCCAGGAGTGCAGCTCAGTGCTTAGCTGTGGACCTAACCAGGCCCCCTTGAACATGGGTGTCAGTTAGGAGGCCTGGGCAGTCTGTGGGACTTCTGGCAGTGGAACCAGTATTTATCCCTAGTGCACAAATGGGCTGTGGAGCCCATTCCCTATGGAGGGACACTCTCTCAGCCTAGATATGTGGTGGACGTGGAGGGATGGGGGAGATGGGAGGGTGGGGGAAGGGGCTGGGTCCTGCCCCAAATGATGCATCAGACTTGGATGATTTCCCCATGGGAGGCCTCACTCTCCCTGGGGAGTGGATGGGGGTTGGTGGGGGGCATGGGAGGATGGGAGGGAGAGGGAACTGGGACTAGTATGCAAAATAATTTTTAACTTAAATAAAAATTTATTTAAATGATTACTAAACAGCCCTTTATCCTACTTCAGAACACAAAGCACCTCTCAATATAATCTTTAGCCTCTCTATTCCAAAGATTATGTTACTATTCTTGCTCTTTAAAATGAGCATGCAGTATTTTTTCAGGGCTTGACATTGAATTTAAATTCACACACTCACTATCAAACACCCCTATAACTTGTTATGCTCTGTGATCCAAATAAAACTTTAACAGCAAACATTTCTGAAGCTCAATGCTACATGCATACTTGTAAATATTTAGATTTTGGTAATTTAATTAACTACGTAATGAAACTGCTTCCATGCATTACACCCCAAAATATAGTGCTATAGATTTTGAAATCTTTTTGGGGGTAAATGCAAGTAAAGCCTAACTATAGTACCATATTCTTAGTTTTGAGAACACCAAATAACATTTCCGTTTTTCTTTTTAAAGATTTATTTATTGAACATGTATACAGTGTTCTGTCTGCATGTATCTCTGCAGGCCAGAAGAGGGCACCAAATCTCATTATGGATGGTTGTAAGCCATCATGTGGTTGCTGGAAATTGAACTCAGGACCTCTGGAAGAGAGGCCAGTGCTCTTAACCTCTGAGCCATCTCTCTAGCCCCCAACATTTCTTTTTTTCACACAGAAAACATGAAAACTAAGTGCTATATTCAGAATGAGGAAACAGAAAACATGAAAACTAAGTGCTATATTCAGAATGAGGAAAATTTTAGGAATGGAGGAATAAGAGAATGAAACTATGAGTAGGATAGGGCAGTTCTAAATATAACTGAAAGAGAAATGAAAATATTCCTTTAAACATTAACTTTATCAAAAGACAAGTAATGCAATTTTAAAACGTTTCACCAAGCAGTAGGTTAGGTCAGCTCACAGTTTCCTTCTACCATTTTTCCAGTGTTCTTAGAAATTATGTAGATATTGATAGGTGGTAATTCAGGATAAGTTGCCGCAGTAACTGTACGATTATGTTTTGGTAGTTTGAAGGAGCTTCTCATACAGTCCAAGATAGTCTCAAACTTTATGGACTTTCCTTCAACAGAAATTCTTAAAGTCAAGTCTGGTTAGTTTCATAGAGGTAGACGGAATCTGCAGGATGTTGCCAACCCATGACCTCATGTAAGTGCTTCTTATCTTCTTGGAGTTCTGGTTGATTCTTCACTCTGGCCGTGGCCACTCTCTCCAGGAACGTACAGGAAGTTACATGCCACATACATGGGGAAAATTATGTCTTCGTTTTCTAGGTTGATCACTTCTAGCTCTTGATCCTTTCTCAGGCAGAGAACATGATAGTCTGTTTCCTTCCTCAAAACAGCTGTTCCTTTTGCATTCAACGAGATCACACGCAGACGGAAGGCAACCTTTCTCTGCCAGAGTAAGCTGACACCAAGGCTACAGGATTGATTCATAGCACTGCGACGGAATACAATGCGCCTGTTGACATAGTGAACTACCAAGTCCCAGCCGAAGTTGAAGCCAGACCAGGTCCAGCTGCATTGCTCATCCCTTTGAAGTTGGCCTCCACATCGCATGCTGGTTCCATGGGTATCAGATACATAGACATTCACTGGCCCAAGTTCTCTGGACTGCTCTGCTCGAAGAAGTGCTAGCCATAGCTCTTTATAGATTGGGGTCACCCAGGATGCAGGGATCAGTGCATCCTGATCAATAGCTTGTGCCGAAGGCAGGTCACAGATGATGTAGGGGAGCCTTAGTCGCTGGAACACTGGCATAAAGGCTCTCCCCTGGTCAGTCTCCAGAAAAGGGACACCATTTGAATCACTTTTGTACTTGGCAAAGCACAAGTCGGCTGCAGACAATAGTGCTGTTGGGGATCCTGACCATGTGGGTTCTAGCTGCAGAAACATCCACTTTTTCAGTATAGTATATATATCTATCTCTACTTCCATCACCAAGAGATCTGAAGAGGCAATAAGCTCTTTCATGAGATCCACATTGATTTCTTGCAATAGTTGCTTATTTTGTCGAGTCACCAGGTTGTCTAAGAGCCACTGGTGGCAATTATATTTGGTGTACTGGAGCCCGTAATCCTCAGCAGAGTAGTAGTAGTTGCACACATTCTCTGCACTGACTGAGGCCTTCATTATCTCCTCACACTGCTCAAGTACCTCATCCAACTGCAGCATACTGGCTGTGGCCAAGATGGCAATGATTCGGTGGGGAGGAATCGGCATACTGTTACTGTACAAGTAGACCAAAGCGTCATAGAAAGACTCACGGTCAATATTTTCGTCAGGCATCTGCATGTGTATTGTAGTCATGTCCGTCTCTCGCCACGCACCGCTGAACATGCTGGCGAAGTATCCTGACCGGCAAAGGTAGAACTTGTGCAAGCACCACTCCTCCCCAAACGCACAGATCTTTACATCACTGTCCCCACCCCTCGGGAAAGGTGACGAGGACAAGTCCAGGGGCGAAGTGTCACGGGATACTTTTGGCGAGGGGCCTCCTGAGCTGCTTGTCCGCTTGCGGCCTACCCGTCTAGCGCTAGTTCTGGCTGCCTCACCTCCCTCCTCTTCTCGAACAAAGGCTGGTCCAGCTTCGGCTGCCGCTTCATCTCTGGCAGCCGGAGGTTCTTCTGCGGGGGGATTTCCTCTCAGCCGCATTAGACTGCTCACAGAGCCCATGGCTTCGTCTGAGGGGTGAAAAACACGTATTTCCTCGTCAGACGGAGAGGCCAAGACAACACCTCAAGCCAGACTGCGGCTGAACAGCGAACAATGCCGCTCAGCCTCAGCGTCAAAATGGTGGCCAAGATGAACCACCGTGCTATACTAGCAATCCAGCTGGAGCATTGCGCCCCCTACCTTGGAGGACTGCACATTGCACTTCCCTCCAAAACTTCCTGTTCTTGGTCTAGCCTCACTGACCGATGGCGCAATCCATACTTATTCGCATGGACCTCTCTGATTATGTCCATTAAACACAAATAGCATTACTCGTCCAAAATTTTGAATGATGATTTCTTTATCAGGAATTACATCTTGCTCCCATCTTTATCCTCCAAACGACTTCACATACTTTAATAAGTTCAGCAAATGCATTATCAGCAGAGATAGTGAAGCCATTTTCAAAGAAAAAGATATTTGCTCCATATCCTGCTGCGTTTTAAAATAAATTTGTTAAAATAATGTTTCCAGCTATACAACATTTTAAAAACATCTCAGTGTGACTTAAAGCCATCTGTTTGCAGGCCATACAAATATTTTCCCCTGAAATCTGAACACTGAATATTAGACACAACCTTAAGATACTAGAAAGATCAACTAGACAAAAATTTAAACTGTTGGGTATAATTAAGATCTGGGATTTGCAAATTAGTAATCTAGTGAGTGGCTATGTTTCAAATGCAAACTTTTGCTATGGTGTTTTCTAGCCATTTCATGTCTTAGATAATGTAGAGATATGCCCTAGACAGAGGGAGCTTTGTCTCTCCTTGATACATTGAACATAGAATTTCCCCCTAGTAGACAGACAAACTGAATTTACCCTAAAAGAAGACAGCAATTACCAAATTAGTACACAAATAGTCTTTGGGCATGAATTTTTCTATAGTACATGTTACAGTTAAGAGATGGTCATGCATCTCGGAAGATCCTTTGGACTTTTAAATAACTTTGAGACTATTATAGACTATGGGGACTTTTGAAGTTGGACTGAATGAAATTTTTTTTTGCAATATGTTATGGCCATAAGCCTTTGGGGGCTGGGGAGTGGAATGTGGTAGTTTGAAAGAAAATGGCCCCAAAGGGAGCTATTACAAGGTATGGCCTTGTTGGAGAAAGTGTGTCATTGTGGGGGTAGGCTTTGAGGTCTCTTTTGCTGAAGCTTCCCTCAGTGTGACAGTCAGTCAACTTCCGGTTGCCTGTAAAATAGAGCACTCTCAGCTCCAGCAGCATATCTGCCTGCATACTGACATGCTCCCCGTCATGATATAGTTCTGAACCTCTGAAACTGTAACCAAGCTATGCCAATTAAAAGCTCATTTTTATAAGACTTGCCATAGTCATGGTGTCTCTTCACAGCAATAAAAACTCAAACTAAGACACCTTCCCCCAGAGAAACACCTCCAACAGGGCCACGCCTCCTAAACCTTCCTAAACATTTCTGCCAACTGGGAACCAAGTATTCAAATATATGAGCCTATGGGGGCCATTCTTATTCAAACCACTACATTCAGCTCCCTGGTCCCCATAGACTTGTGCCCATATCATAATGCTAAATGAATTTAGTCTTTCACAGTCATAACACAGCTTAGAAGTCCAAAGTTGCTCCTGCAACTACCCAGGCCCAGAACTAGGACTATGACTTGCTTCACTCCAGTATCCACCCTATCTATGATTTTCTGGAGAACCAAAGCTGCAGGATCTCCATGACACACAACAAAAACAGGACATCCAAGAAAAGTCCCAGTAAGGGCCTAGCATCAGTAAGTCTTTGCAAGCAACACTTGCAAGTAAAGATATATGGTCTAAAGGCTTTACTGTGTGACTCAGTGTGTCACATTACAGCTTCTATGACAATATTTTTTTCTTGTTTTTTCTCTGCTGTGGAATAATCCTTTTGTACACTGTGAAGATTTGTCACTGTTATAGGTTTAATAAAAAAAAGTGACAGGCAGGTGGCTGGTCAGGAAGTTAGGTGGGGAAGCTAAACTGAGAATGATGGGAAGAATGGGGATGGATTCAGAGGAGTGGCTAGCCGGATGCAGAGGGAGCAGGAGATGAACCTGCCATGCTAATAAAGGCACTGTCATTTGGGAGAGTGTAAATAAGGAATATGGAGTAACATAAAACATAAGAGCTAATTAGTAATAATTAATTAGTTATTTAATATACATCTCTGTGTGGTAATTTGGAAGTGGCTCCCAGGACAAACACGCTCCATCTATATTTCTCTAATTTTTTTTGTGATGGGGGTTGCAAGGACAGAGGGCAGATGTAAAGGGATGGAAAATGAATGGGATCAATATTCATGATGTGAAAGACACAAAGAATCAATAAAAAAGTTTAAAAATTCCCAAATTGCTTCTGAGACTCAAGGCAATGTCTGAATTATAATCCCCTGTAAAACATCAAATTACATATTTCTAGAGCACAATGGCACAGAATACACAGTGCCATGTAGTATAAGTAACAAAAACCCAGAGACAGATGTTGGGGTTCAAGCAGCCAGCCACTAGCTTTTACCTCTACCTCAGACTGAAAGGGTGATCCTGAATCCTCAGCACGGCTGGGTTGGAGACTGAATGTAATCCTATACTCAAAGTGGCTGAAGATTAATTGACTTCTTGTCCTCCACATGACTGGAGACTAATTGCCCTGCTCCTGTCTTATATTCCTCTCTAGTGCTGGCATTAAAGGTGTGAGCTCTGTTTCCCTTTTAGACTAAAGCATTCTCATGTAGCCCTGGGTGGCCTTGAACTTGCAGAGATCCATCTGCCTCTGTCTCCTGAGACCTGGGATTAAAGGTGTGTACCACCACTGTGGCTGTGCCTAGCTTTAAGTTCTCATTTCTAGGAAAGTTTTATTAGATCATAAACAATATATAACCACATTACCATTTCAAAAGAGAGGAATGAGAACATCATGAGGAAATGCTGGACCAAAAGAAGACTGAAATTCAGCAGGACAAACTCCAAAACCTGTAGATCCATGTCTGGTGTCAAAGGGCTTAGATGGCTTTTAAGATCATTCACTCTTCCAGATTTTCTGACTGTATCGTACTTCTTTCTCTTGCATTGGCCTCATTTCCTCTTTGCAGCTATCTCAGGTAGATATTCCAAGCCTCTGGCACCTGAACATCCTGGGATCTGCAAAGCAGTCCAAACATCACTGTCACAACTTCATGCAATTGACTTTCAGGGTTTCAGTGCAAGGGACTTTCCAGTCACACACCTGACCTCAGTGGCTCTCCTTAAATACAGATAAGGATTCCACAATCTCTTTACTCATGTATTCTTCATGATTCTTAAGACAGAATCATATGGCCAACATGGTCACCAAGATCAGCTGTTACTTTGGGAGGAAGCCAGGATCCCTCCTTTAACCACATTTGTATAACTTTTGATTTATTGTTCTTGTCTAGGAGAGGAAAGTTTCACAGTCTACCTTCCTTTTTAAGAATTGTGAAAATAACTTTCACAAGTTTCAGGATTAGCTTGACATTGTCTTCCCTCAGGGTACCCTCCCTTTGTTCCATTTCCCCATCAGGCCTCTCCTTATTTCTTTCAGCACAAGCCTTGACCCCAAAGTTAAATTTCCCAGTTCTCCTTTTCTCCTCCAACTATACATTTTGCATTTTTTACATTGCTATTTTTCCTTGCAAACCAGCATAAGAGTGATTATTCGTAACCACATAACAGAGTCAATATTCAGCATGTAGGGAATCTTGGAGTTGTTTCAAGACATCCTGAGAGCAAGTTCTCAGCACAAATTAGATGTATTTGCCTTGGGAGACAAAGGAAGGGAACAAGAGACAAAGATAGGAGATAGAGTATGAGGGAGAAGGGGAATGGAACAAGCAAGAGAGGAGAAAGGGGGCAAGAGAGAGGAAGAATGAGGTATTTGTTTGGGTGATGGTGCAAAGGACTGCTTCTGGATAGAGAAGAGACAGACATGGCCCATAGGCATGTTTATAAAGGTAAAAGGGGAAAGCCCATGTTACAATGAGGTGATGTTTAGTTTTCATTAAGCATGTTAATTAATATGGCTAAAAGAGAACTTTTGGTTGTTGAACTTCAATACTTTCATAGTGAGACCTTGATAATCAGCCTCAGGAGAAAGAAGTGACCCAATAAGGGAATAGATCTTGGTGGCTAGTTTTAGCAATGTAATCTGATATTTTTTTTGGCAATTCAGAGAGAATGGGGGGAGAATGGCAAGTCCTCCCAGAGGCATTCTTGCCATGCTCAAGCTGGGTAAAGCCACTTCTGAGCTGTCTTGAAATTTCCTCTACCAGTGAAATTAGTCCAAAACTTTTCAATTTAGCCTCGGGCAGATTCTTAAGACACAGCAAACCGGCATCCACATTCTTTGACAACTCATCACAAAAATGGTCTCTAGTCTAGTTGCTAATATTGTTCCCCTCTGAAACCTCCGTTGTGAACATTGTTCTCAGCACTACTATCTTCAAAGCTCCCACTAGAATGGCCAGTGTCTTAGGTAGAGTTTCTATTGCTGCACTGAAACACCATAACCAAAAAGTATTTTGGGGAGGAAAGGGCTTTATTTGGCTGATACTTCAGGATTGCTGTTCATCAATGAAGGAAGTCAGGACAGGAACTCAAACAGGGCAGGATTCCAGAGCAGGAGCTGATGCAGAGGCTATGGGGCAGGGGTCAGCAGGGAAACTGCTTACTGACTTGTTTCCCATGGCTTACTTAGCCTGCTCTCTTATAGAATTCAGGGCCACCATCCCAGGGATGGCACCACCCACCATGGGCTGGACCTTCCCTATTGATTACTAAATGATAAAATACCTTACACCTGGATCTCATTGAGACATTTCCTCAACAAAGGCTCCTTCCTCTCTGATGACTCCACCTTGTGTCAAGTTGACATACAAAACTACCCAGTCTTTACCTGCCCTTTCTCAATTCACACTCCCCCTCTCAGGTAGGAACCAG